TCAGACAGCAGCCACACAAAGCAACTACTGACCTGATGCCCTGCCAGAACCGGTTTCAGCCGCCCTTAAATGCGCCCCTGCGTCCATTCAGTGTGGACGCGCTAATTCGAATTAGCAAAACACTAATTCGAACTAGTTTTTAGTTCTAGATGCGTTAGTTCGAATTAGCTTAGTTAAGTTAGTTCAAATTAGTGCTGTAGTGTAGATATGCCCCTAGTTCCTGCAGTAGAGCTACAGTGTGGTGGTGAATTATCAACATTGAAAAATATTTTCCCTATGAGACCATAAGTAACTACAAGCAGGACAATGATAAAATTGCTAAGCTCACCCCAGTTCTATATCTGTAACAGAATAGAATTCTGTGCACAACCTCAGAGCCATTACAGTGATATACAACAGGGACCAATTCTGTGCACAACCTCAGAGCCATTACAGTGATATACAATTTACTTGATAATCTAGTTACAATATATTACTTTTAAAAATTAAAATTTCTGTTAAATGATTGTTTAAATGCATTACTGAGTATCAAGTGATACTCATATGTATATGTTCTAGGTGTTTCTTTTATTTCACATCCTTAATACTTTTTCGACAGTATCTGTTCCCCAGATTTTTCACCAAGCAAAAAGTTTTCTGTACTACACACATCATTATGGAAGGTACGTTTACTTGTCCAATATGCATAAAAAAAGTATTTTACTGTGCACTCATTTGCTTTATGAACCATTTATTTGCAAGCATCTGTTTTAATTTGTATTAACTGAAACTAATCTGTTCATGCATCTCTCTACTCTGTAAAGAAGGGCAGACACCCGGAAGGGAGGAACCAGCCTCAGAGTAGTGAGTCAGGGCAGGTGTGTAGAGGCATGTTTTAGGAGAGGGGATGAGGAGGGGTAGGTCAATTGAGCATAGTGTCTCTACTTGAGGAGTGGGCCCTGTGGGAGAGAAGGTCTGGTGGATGGTCAGTAAGGCTCATGGCAGTGAGAAGGACAGGAGTTAGGACAAGAGATGAGTTTGAGGGGTTAGGAGGCAGCAGTCACTAGGGTAGCTGCTGGAGCAGTGGGAGGAGACATGGAAGCAGAGGGGAAAAAGTTGATATTTAGTAATAACGTATTAGTAATTACTGTTCTTATTATTAATCGGAATTTATGACCTTAAAGTAAAATTTTTTTCTTGGGGTGGCCAGTCCCTTTTTTGTCTGTCAATTAGTGTTTTCAATTATTTGTCGAGCAATGACTATAACCAAGGAGCTAGTTGATATCAATCTCAAAAAACATTAGATCATCATTGATGGAATACATCCTTCTTTGGTAACATATACATTCAGGAGAATTATGCATGTTCCTTAACTTAATTTATGTCTGTGTTGTCACTGGCTTGACAATCATGCCTTGTTAATATTGTTTAATGTTGCTTATATGTACACAATGTCCATCTCATATTTTCTACTTGAACTGACTGTTATATGGATTGATTTTCCCATTTTCCAATTCACTAACTGTTTCCTGTTGTGAACAATTCTCAGGGAAATGTTTCGAGGAGAAAATTAAAAATGTTTTGGCAAACATAACGAGTAACACATATCCTGAAGGAATGAATAAGGCTGGACGATTGAACCTTCGAACATTTGCTAGGAGATTCTCTTTGGAAGGCAAGGAATCCTTTTTTTAATAGAATAATGACATTACAATGGATGATACATGCTATCCAGGATTGTACTGCTGTCCCAACACTGGGATTATTTTGAATGTTTACCTTACCTTCACTGTTACTGTGATTGTCAGCATTAGCTTCATTCACAGTTCATTTAAAAATTATATTGCTATCTATGCATACATGAAACATATTGGTCAGTTACCTTACAAATTAGTAAGAATTATAATTCTTTGAAAATTAAACTTATCACTGTTCTTCATTTCTTATGAATATTCTCCTTTGTGCTGCAAAGCACCAACAACAGTCACTATCTGGTCAGTGAGCAATGATTTCTAATTTACAAAACAAATAAATAATCATAATCATACACTGAATTTGCTAGGCGTGTCTTGTATAATTTTTGAATACCAATGATAATAACAGGTTGTATCTTAAATGCAACACTTGATTTCATCATATTCTCTTCATCTTTTGCAGAGTAGCCACTTTGACTACTGTGCGTAGGCTGGGGAGGGTTGGGGGAAAACTTCAAACGGGTGGCTGGGCCGTGGAAAGAAATCACATGGTGCACACAATACAGCCTGTGATGAATTGGCGCATCATCAGGGGGAACCTCTATTCCAGACCACATCTACAGCATAAGTGAGGGGTGGGGCAGGAGAAGCTACACCATCTTGATCATGTTCATCTAAGGAAGACATGACATCCACTACCCAAGGAGACCGCATGCTGTAGGTGATCTGACTCAGTCATATAGCCCTAGTGCCATTGTGACACAGGGACTACATGTTTACGGTTCTAGGGCTGTTTCTAGGTCTGTGTTTTGCATAAGTAGTTGGGTTGAAAATGAGTCAAGTAGCTGTGGGTCAGGCTGAATGCCAAGGAGTGAACAGGAAATGGGATACAGGGGAAGATGCTTAACAGAGATGTAACATTGGTTGTTGCAGCAGGCAATCACCTTACTCATCCTCTTTGATCCATGTTCTATATTCAACAGATGGCACATTGTACCATTCAGCCAAAGGAAGAAAGGTTATCGTTGTGCATACCATGAAAGAAGCATGGACACTTTTTGAATGGTATCATGAGAGTTTCATGGGTGGACATGAAGGAATATTCAAAACTAGGAATATAATGACTGCAAAATACTATTGGCCAGGAATGACGAGAGACATAGTCGATTGGGTATGTAAAGAAATGACTATAATTCAGGAAGAAAGACATTGACTATTGAAATACAATTTCATGATTTATAAAATTAAGAAAATACATATTCGCTGTGGAAAAGTGAACTCTGTTCCCTTGGAGTACTAATGATCTAAGGAAAAAGTAATGTGATCGTATTATTCCATTCAAACTAGGTTGCGCAATGTCCGACTTGCCAGAAACAGGGAAAGAAATTACATGTGGATAACAACTTGAGAAGCATAAAGGTGCGTTTTTTGTAATCAGACACATTATTTATCAATTGTGACAAAGATAGGTCATTAATTCACTGTGTCCCACATTTAAGCGCAGATTTTGATAGCTCTGGAGGCTGTTACTCACCATGTAGCCATTAATTTTTTAGAGAAAAGGCTCACAGCCTTCTGTGCCAGTGTCATCATAAGCCATCACTGGAGATGAGGAGAAGCAACCCTCCACTGCACAGTGTGTTGTCTCCCAGTGTCAGTGAATAATCGTGGAGGGTAGGGATGAGGCCGGGTAATCCCTACAGTCCAGGATCCATTCCATACACACTAATAATAGTAGCTATGGTAGCTATATTTCCTTCCTTACTTAGTAATATCTTTTAAAAAGAGCTGTCTTCATTCTGATAATGTTGAAACCACAGTACGTTCTGTATTTTTCTAAAAATTATATGTATAATTGATACATTTATGTGCTAAAAATGTGAAGTCTGACTCTTACTCTTAATCCTGATTTATAGGCTGTTCGTGTCTGGGAATTGTTGGGAATGGATCTAATGGGACCATTACCAGAAACAAAGAATGGATACCGGTATATAATGACAGTCATAGATTATGTTTCAAAATTTCTGTTTGCGTTTCCACTTCGAAGTAAGTCAGCAGTTGAGGTTGCCAAGAAAATGTACGTCATGATTTGTATGCGTGGATTCCCACAGCGCATACTGACCGATCGTGGTCCTGAATTCTGTAATAAGGTAATAATTCTTTCAAATAATCACAATAATAAGGTTATAAGTTTTTTAAAAATAAGTTTTAAAATGTATTCAACCTAAAGATTAGGTATCTTCTACCTGTCAGTGAACATTGTTTTCTGGCCACTTCTCATTTCTGTCAAAAGAAAGGCACAGTGTTTTCAACCACTGTTCCAGAACAATCAACATCCTTTTTTTAAGAAACTTAAGTTAGTCACTGTGACAGATGCTCTAAAAATTTTCAATGTCGTCTTCCAATCGGACAATAGAAAGAACAATACTGTTGTTTCCAATAGTAGTATTAAAAGATAGACTATTAAAAATATAAATTATACATAACACTTATGGAAAATAGGCATAGGAACAGTCCTTACGACAATTCTATATGTAAGTTAATGATCTATTGTCTTTTCTTCCAGTTTAATATGTATCTATACAAAGAATTCCACATAGAACGTAGCTTCTCCACCCCGTACCATCCTCAAACCAATGGCTTTATTTACCAATGCTAATAAAAAAAATCAGAACTAAGTGAATGGGTCACAATATGACATGAATAATGGCAAGTGTAATCTGCTGTGTCTGAATCTGCAACTAACTCATGAATTTTCAAGCTACTACATGTTTTTGATTGAAAATATATATTGATTATTCATTGCACAGGTTTGATTCGTTATTAGTTTCAGTCTACAATAAGTGTGCTTTCAGATCCACACCAAAAATCTCTGATCATTTCTTACAGAGCATTACAGGAGATGGTTGATGACAACGGTACAAATTGGGATGAAATAATTCATCCAATTTTTGTTTTCGATGCGAACAAAAGAACACTCAAGAACAAAACTTACCCCCTTTTGACTAATGTATGCAGAAGACCCCATATTTCCATAAGAAGTCTCAAAATTACACGGTAAGTGTATGTTATCACCTGCACCTTACAAGTACATATGTCTTTCAATATGAAGTCAGGGAACGAATACAACTCCTTCTGTATGCTTTTTCTAAGATCCCAGATTTAAATACACTTCATGAAGAATTCTACAAACAGTATGACATAGAAAAGACATTGCGACATGAGGCTGACGTTACTTAAAGCCATTTCAATATCTCTAAAGCACAAGAAAGGCAACAGAGACATTATGCAAAAAGGCACAGCTCAAAATACGGTGAAGTAAGCTTTGATGTTGGGAACTCTGTCCTTTTATTGAATGCTAGGAAGAGAACAAGAAAAGGCGGAGTACTAGAACCTACATATCGTGGACCATACAAAATTACAAGTATTGAGGGGAAGACAGTAAAATTAGAAACCATGTCAGGAAAAATGTTAGCAACCAAGTACAGCATTGCATGTTTAAAGAGCCACCACAATTTGCTCCCAAGAGCACAACAGAGGAAAGAATTGTAACTGAAATCACAGTGAGTAACAATGGGACCACAAATACATGTGAAAAGATTCAAAAATTGGATGGGCCTGAATCACATATCAGGTTCAATCATTGAACGATATAAAAAAGACATCATCGGAAGAAGAGGAGATAGTGGAGGAATATGATTTTGGTGACATGATGATGGAGGATGTGGAAGACAAAGAATGGTTTCTGAAAGGTACTTTCTTAACTAACTCACATTTCCAAATCAGTTTTTAAACACAGTTGCATGTATGAAGTGTGTTACAATATTCTTTCACGTTTAAAAAAAAAAAAAAAAATTTACACTATGAAAAAAGGAGACTGAAATTATCTGCAAGTAATGGGTGTTTCTTTTCTTTGCAGTAAAATTTGCAATGAATGGAAAACAAAGAGACTGGAGGCCAAAGTGAGAAATTACAAATTGTATGGCACTTCATTTCATTGCCTGAAACCAAGAAACTGGATATGTGATGAGGTATTCTTAATTAACACTACAAGTGTATGGAAAGATAATTGATGAATCTAATATTATTGACAATGTTCCCTTTCTGTCATCATGTGTTGTAGGTTATTGATGCGTATTTCAGCTGTCTAGTCGAGAAATCGGGGGGAAAGGTAGGCCACTGTCTGAATTGAATCAGTTACTTAACACTAACTTGAATGTAAGAGAAACTATGGCTTTCAAAATATTTTGGAAATAACAGTATACAACTGCCATTGCAACATTTCTGATGACGTAAATGAAAAAACCATGTATTGTAATGCATTTTGAGAAGAATATATGACATACAATACTTGATATGTTGATATTTACAGTAGTTTGTCTATAATTATCATCTTGTACATTAATTACATACTAATCTGTGATCTAATGAATAATGTCTTACATTAAGTAAGACAATATATGTTGTTTACAAATCCTTTTTTTCCCCCCATGAATCTCGTCCATACCCTTATTGATAACAGTACGGATCCCTTGTATGGATGTGTATCATAAAGTCATTACCTTCTTTATGTTTTCATTTCTGCATAGCATAGTGAAGAAAAAACTCAAGAGAAGCTACACACCACAATGAATTGGTGTCTAAGGGTCCCTAATTATCGATCACAGAAATAATCTGATAACTAATCTTAGGTTTTTTCATGTGCATTAATGAATGAATAATGCAGTAAGATCTTGCTTGTCTGTCAACAGGTAGAAGCCATCTCAGCAGTAGTTGCCACACAGATTCTGTTAGGCAGACAAAGAGACCTGAAATCGAAGGTAAAGATTTCCAATATTTCCTACCTCGCATGAACAGAGCACATTCTTAATGAAGACACTACCAAAAATGTTAAATTACAATGCTAATTTTGATGGGTAGTGCATAAAGTAATGGTAATCCATGTTACTAAATTAAGATAGTATAATCTACATGTCATTGTTGGCTTATCTTTCAACTTTAATTTTGAACCTAATTTTTAAAAATTAATTACAGAGCCGATTTCTTCGTCATGAGATACTATTACTTCCTTACAACGCACCAAATCACTGGGTTCTTGCAGTAAGATGATTTCTATTTCACTCCTGTGATCTGTTGAATGAAAGTGGTATTATGTAAGAGGGTGATAACACAGCTGGGTGGCAGTGGTCTTATGTCCTCAACTGTGTATTTTATGTAAGTTCATGCATGGAAATGAAAGTGGAATATGAGTGTCGCTATTTTGAGAGCACCGTTTCTTAAACAACACAAGTTAATGTGAAATGGGATCAAAACGTCAAAGACGTGAGCAAATTGTATTAGTAAGTGATAGATCATTGAATTCAGAATATGCTTTTCTACTTTGTGTTAGTGATTACAAATGATAATATGTGAATATTTGGTTTTGTGTAAGTCAGTAATAAACATCATGAATTAGCACATTATCAACCTAACTTGTACATGTTCTCTACACTTACAGATAGCACTGATGGGTACACAAGAACTGCTAATAATTGATCCATTGTGTGAAGAGATGAGCTATGAAAGAAAATTTCTTAGAAACTGGAGGTAAATGCTAAGATAATTGTGTTCACAGTGATCCTACACTGTTGGTGTTTAAATAGTTTAAAGTTATGTATCAATAGTGAGAGTAATATCTTCCTGTTCGCTGCAAAGAATAATGGAAAGAGCATGTGCTCGTACTGAATGTGCTTACTGATGTCATAGCAGTGAACTTATGTTATTTGAGTCTAGCTTAATAATTCATATCATTTGGACACAAGGCAGTTGAATGATGCATGAGTCAGAAGGTGTTATCCACATGTGGCACAGCAAAGCAGGTGATACACTCTGTACTAGTGACATAGAAATCTGAAAGCAAAAGTGTTTGTATGTGTACGTAAGTATGTTTGTATTACATGAGAAATACATCATGAGTATCAATAATTAGAGATAGCTCACAAAGATTTTACTCAATGTACAGAAAATAAAAGAAAAATACTTAAGAAAAAATAGATGTTCTGAGCAGTCCAATAATGGCTTCCACTAATATTTCAGAAACTTCATCAAAGTAGAAGAGCGCCAATCATCATCAAATTAGAAGTCTAATTATTAGCCATAATAGACAAATTGATGGGCACAACTGCGGACCATTCATCATAAAGGTTAGTAAGAAAACATTGTCTGTATTTCATATTTGTGTCATTAGCAGAGGTGATAGTAAATGCAAAAGAATACTGGTTGAACTGCAAAGGCATCCTTGCCAAGGTGTGTGAGCTGTGCTCTGGGACTTCATAAGTGCTGTTGTCTTATGAGAGAGGTGCGGTTCTTGAAAGGACAGATTCAACCAGCAGTCACTTTTTGACAGCTGATGCTGTAGTGCCAAGGTGCCACATGCTGTTTTAAATTGCCAGTCAACTTTTGTTCCACCACTGTTGTTGGCCCTGCCAGATACCATGGCCGGGCCACAGAGAATGGGAGGGTTAAAGGGGGCAGCGACGTGAAAACATAAAGCAGTACTACAGCAGTAATGTATGGTCAGTTATGTACATGACTGAACCAGTGTCTGTTTCTTACCATCGTGCCCTCACGGCACACTCTAATGTATGGTAATTATGACATGTTTTCTAAACAGAAGTCTTGTTAGTTTGCAGAAACGTATTTGCAGCTGAAAGACATCAGGTCTGTGGACATATCAGAGGAGGCAAAAAATGAGTTTAGATGACACATAGCAATTCTCCTAATGAAGGAGTCAGGTAATAATTTTATCACATGCTCTATAGAATCAGTAAGCACATGATAAGTTAAATGGAAGAGTTGAAATAGGTGGTGTAAAACAGTCAACCTAATACCCCTAAAGTGGTTTATCTCACAGGTTTGGTTATGTAATGCTGACCGTTCAACACTAATACCAGTAAATACCAAAAAACTTAGATTGTGAGAATCGTTACTATTGTTCGAAAAGTTAAATAAATAAACCGGTTTACTTTATATCCAGATGTAGTGTAGTTACAGTTTATAAAAATTGTATTAAAAAAATTAAATAATAATAAAACAAGTGACTAGTTTTACAGTAACTAATAACGCTGTAGTAGCATGTACAGTGTTGTTCATAACAATTTGCATTTCATTGCTATGTATTTATTTTTCAGAAAGCATAGAAGAATTCTGCATATATTGCAATAGGATCAATTGTGAAAAGAAAAGTGAGGAATGCACTATGGTAAGATAATACAGATTTGTATATAACACATGCCATAATCTTTTTAATATTATTGAATTTGATAAAAACACCACAACACTACACATTTTCATCATGGTTGTAGTACAGAAGTGAGCAAACTGCAGTACGCAGGACACACATGGAATGCGGAAACATCCTGCCCTGCCCTAGCGATCACGGTCATGTAATAGCCTCCAACTCTGACCACCCTCCCCTGCCACATCTGCTCACCTTGCCAAAAGCGTTCTAGGAGTTCTAGGCGGAGGGACTGCACTGCACAGCGTAATGGCTCGTTACAGCCATGAAGCACTGTTGCCAGTCCTGCTACTCAGAGGACAGAGAGCAGGAGGGTTGAACAAGGGTCGTAGGTCACATTGGACAGACGGGAAGCAGACCAGAGGTGGTTGGATGGGAGGAAGTTCTGAGTTTGGGAGTCAGGGTGTGTGATTTCAGAGTGGGCTGAATCAGGGCGGAGAACATACTGTATAAGGAGTCAAAGATTTCAGGACATGTCACTGAATATAGTTTGGGAACCATAATGTGTGTCTCCAACAAAATTGTTTTCAAATAGCACTGATAGGAATATCTTAGGAAATGATTACATGAGGAAGGAATCCCATGGTTGCGTAGAAAGTATGTGTTACATTATAAGTTGTGTGAGTTCTTTTTCTCGTCTGTCACTTATCAAAGGTCCAGTGTGATTCCTGCAAGAGGTGGGTACATATGCCGTGCATTCCGGAAGGAACCAATGAAGAAATGATCAATGATGAGAAGACAGAATGCAAGTGCCAAAAATGTTCTTAGTGCAGTTCTACTTCATAAAGCTGACAAGATGTGTAAATAGATTTTGATACCATGAAATAATAAACTTTTAAAATATGAATTATCGTTATCAGTATTTTGGTTGTTGTGTATAATATAAAATAAAAGGAAAAACACAAGCATCCCCTGAGTCTGTTATCCCCTGAGTCCATTAGCAAGCAGGGAGCAAATTGTGAGTGTTTTCGACCACAATACCCAGTCCCTCTGAATTTGCAACCAGCAAAGGTAGCAAGTCCTGAGCAGTAGCACCGAATTGCATGTATGCATGACAGAAACTGCAACAGTCGCGAAAACTGAGAGTTGCACTTTCTGTCTATACACCTGGCGCGGCAGCGCTCGGGTATGTGAGCTGCCGCGGTAGCGTAAGGAGAGGAAGGTTTGGGGGAAGGCGCTGATCCGGCTGGGTCTGGAGGAAGTGGGGATTTAAGCGTGATTCTGTAATGTGAATCACAGTGGAGATCAAGAACAAAAGACAGGACTATATAGCACTTTAAAGACTAACAAGATGGTTTATTAGGTGATGAGATCAAGGTAACTCGGATACCTCCTGAATCGATTGTATTTTCCAATGGACAATGCATCCTAAATTCTGATTTACTGAGGGACACGCTGCGCTTTGTACAAACAACTCTCCACAACTTTCCATGATTCATTAAAATATCTCAAACTTTGTTAATTTTATGCACCTACATTTGGGTTATTGCTGATCATGTACTGGTCCATCTAGCTCAGTATCCTGACTTCTGACAGTGACCAATGCCAGATGCCCCAGAATGAACTGAAGAAGTAATCATCAGTGATCACTCTCATGTCACCCATTTCCAGCCTCTGACAAACAGAGGCTAGGGCTGTGGTCACCAACCAGTAGATTGCGATCTACCGGTAGATCTCAGGGGCTCTAAGAGTAGCTCTTGAGCCCTCTCTGAACTGTGCAGGTGTGCATTTCATTTACATTAGATTTCTTCATGTAATGTAGGCGGGGCTTCAATGAAGGGGCGGGGCAGTAGATCTTCGCCTGTTCTGAGACTTAAAAAGTGATCTTGGGTGTAAAAAAGCTTGGAGACCACTGGGCTACGGATACCATTCCTACCCTTCTTGGCTAATATGCAGGGCTTGACAAACCGTGAAATCTACTTGCAAGCCCCGCACGTCACATGCGCAAGACCCGCATTGCACATGTGCGCACTGCCAGTAAACGGGGCAAGTAGATTCACTGATTTGTTGAGCCCTGCTAATAAGTATTCATTGATTTAATCCTCATGAATATATCTAGTTCTTTTTTCAATTCTGTTTAAGTCTTTGTCTTCATGATGTCCTCTGGAAGGGGCAGATGAGAATTTTGCGGGGCCCAGGACAGCACAATTTCGCGGGGGCCCCCCCTCGTGACATGGCGCATGCACGGGGCCCAGGACAGCCGCCCCGCTCGCCCTGCCCTATATCCACCACTGTCCTCTGGAGTTCCACAGGTTAACTGTGCTGCATGAAGGCAAACTTCCTTTTGTTCGTTTTAAACCTGTTACCTATTAATTTCATGCAGTGATTCTTAGCCCTTATGCTATGGGAACAAGTAAATAACTTTTTTCTTTATTTACTTTCTCCATACCAGTATCATATACGCCTTTAGTCCCCTCTTTTCTAAAATGAAAAGTCTGTCTTTTTAATCTCTCTTCATATAGCACCCATTCCAAACCTCTAATAATTTCTGCTGCCCTCTTCTGACCCTTTTCCAATGCCAATATATCTCTTTTGAGATGGGCAATAACATGTGGGTGCAATATTCAAGATGCAGGCATGCCATGGATTTATATAGAGGCAATACAGTATTCTGTCGTCTTCTCTATCTTTTTTTACATAATTCCAAACATTGTTTGCTTTTTTGACTGCCGCTGCAAATTGAGTGGATGGTTTTCAGAGAACTATTCATAATGACTCCAAGATCTCTCTTTCGTGTGGTTATACTTAAATTTAGCCCCCATCATTTTATGTGTATAGCTGGGATTATTTTTTCCAATGAGCATTACTTTGCATTTATCAAAATTAAAATTCATTTGCCATTTTGTTGCCCAATCACCTAGTTCTGTGAGATCCCTTTGAAGCTCTTCACATTCTTAACTATCTTGAGCAGTTTAGTATCATCCGCAGATTTTGCTACCTCACTTTTTACCCCTTTTTCCAGATCTGGGCCTGTTTGAGCCATTTCTGCACCCCGGGGAGTGGGCACACCATGCATGCGCGGCCCTGCCCTGGCTGACGGCACATGCGTGGCCCCGCCCCCTGGGGCACTGCGCACATTACAGCTGCAATCAGGTGCACGGTGCCTGATTGCAGCTCTAAGGGGTGCCTCGTGGCCCCCAGCCCTGAGCGCGTGGCGCCAGATGGCAGCTCTAAGGGGCACTGCACGGCCAGGCACACAGCGCCCCTTACAGCTGCCATCAATTATGCAAAGTGCTAGGGAGTAGCCAGTGGTCATGGTACATGTAGGTACCAATGACGTAGGGAAGGGTAGGAGAGATGTCCTGGAGGCCAAATTTAGGCTGCTAGGAAAGAGACTGAAATCCAGGACCTCTATGGTGGCATTCTCGGAATTGCTTCCAGTTCCACGCGCAGGGCCAGGTAGGCAGGCAGAGCTTCAGAGTCTCAATATGTGGATGAGACAATGGTGTAGAGAGGAGGGGTTTAGATTTATTAGGACACTTTTGGGAGTGGGGGAGCCTATACAGGAAGGATGGGCTCCACCTGAACCAGGGTGGAACCAAACTCCTGGCACTAAACATTAAAAAGGCCGTAGAGCAGTTTTTAAACTAAGAGATGGGGGAAAGCTGGTTGGTGCAGAGAAGCACATAAATCGAATGGAGACTTCTCTTAGAGGAGAATCCATTGATAGAGATTCTCTAAGCTGCAG